AGATTTACATGTAATTAAAAACATAAAGAAATTCCTCTCATCTAACTTTGATATGAAAGATATAGGAGAAGTAGATTTAATCGTAGAAATAAAATTTAATAAAACTCCTGATGGTTTGCATTGACACAATCTCATTATATTGAAAGAATGTTAGAAAAATTTAATCAATCTAATTGTGTGCTTGTAAAAACACCTTAAGCTACCCCTACTGTTAGTCTTAGATACATCAAGGGGGATGGGTTTAAAGCCCATAAATTAAACGAAAAATGGTGACAACCTAACCTTTGTGATTGGAGATCCCATGAAGGATGTTCAATGGGTAATAAAAAGGGTAAATTTCTTAAGTTACCGCTAATGTTCACGAAATTGACAAACTGCACCCAATTGCGCCGCACACGTAGGTTCAGGGCCCTTGCCCTATCTTTATTTATGTTCTTTTCGGTTTTTCCATTAAAACTTCAACATTTTAACCAAGAGCCCAATTTTAAACGTTCTCTTTTTTAACCGCTCACTTTCCTATTGCATGGGAGAACTCCCAAAGTTGATGGGAGTTGTTGAGAGACATTTCTGTCCTGGGTTTTTCTTAGTAGCCGTGACATCTGCATTTATATTGTAGTGAACTTTGGCCCTTAAAAGGTGCATTCTTGCTCTCTTCTTTTGTACGCATCTTTTGCCCTTTCTCACTGTGTTTTTCTTTTTCGTTTTGGGCACACAACAATTTGGTTTGCTACTTTGGGCTATGAGTGCACACAATGCCAAGGCTAAGAGCTATTATATCCTGGAGGCTAATCGCCAGTATCCTTCTACATCAACGGAAATACTCCAAAGAGGTGGCGAAATCGGTTTTAAGGAGAGCGGACTCATGCTGTGACTCAGCTACACTGATAAGTTTTCTTCAATTCTTTATTAGTTTACTGTTTCATTTTCCTATAGCTCGACTTTGCTTATTTGGATTCTGGATTCATCTTTGTTACAGCCATACTACGTTTATATTTTCCAAGATCATCTAAGTGTTTTTTACTTTATCCCTGGCTCCTCTAGCCCCTTTAACTTGTAACAAGTCACTTGCATTTAATTGGTGTTGTAAATGGTTTTTATGGACCAAACTATCTTAACTTGCTTTTATCTCATTTTATCAGCTATCCGAGCTTTTGATAGGATCCTTTTTATGACTACATTTCTAACCCTTTTCTACTTTTACCATTCATCCATCTAAGCATTCTCATTTCTACCACATTCATATTTTGGACATGTTGGCTCAACTAGGTGAATTGAAATCTTCAAGAATCATTAATACTCATGGGATATATATATATATATATATATATGTATGTATGTATGTATATATATTCCGATTTCTATGAACTCTGACTATTATAATGACACCAATGGTTTTGTGTGCTCATGAAACAAAATTTACCAAGTTATTAATTTATTGGCTATTTCTTGTTATTCTCTTCCTGTTGAAAATATGATGGTAATAGTTCCAAGAAATGCTGGTTAAATAAGAAAATATGAGAGGCTGGTTGAGATTGAAATGAAAAGCAACAATCTTGCATTTTTTTTTGCAACAATCTTGCATTCTGATCATAATAAGGAAGATATTTATGATTGTACCCCTTAGGCCTCACTCTAATATACTATCTCTTGGTGTAAATTCCAATAAAATAGGCTTTTAATGTTCGATAAGGTAGACAGAGGTCTACCTTAAATTAAATGATTAAAAATTAAATTACATTATACAAGATGATATAATAATTTTTTTCTTATAATTATGATAATAAATAGTAATTATTAAATTTAATATTTTCTATTTTACTTTTCCCATTGATTTTACTTCTCATCATGATGTGTTATGACTCCATGCGGAATGTCATAAAAATGCTTGGACTTTTGACACAAAACTGATTTGGACACACCATATCTTGATAATTTAATTTGATATGGGCACACTATGATTGATTTAATTTGATATTGGGCACACCCTGAGTGATTTAATTTGATACTGCCACACCAAATTTTGCATGGTATTGTATGGGGTATTAATGGAAACGTGAAGACTATTATTTGGGGTAGGACTGCAAATGGATGATAGGTAGACCCAAATTTGTTTCCTTGATAATCGAAACTGAATAGGAGTAAATGTTATTGGAGCAAGAACCAAAGCTCAAAACATCAGATGGTTCTAAAAACATTAAGGTAAAAAGTCACTATCTTTATGAGCTTTGTATTTCTCAAATAAACTTAACTTAGGGTCCATTTGGTCGATGGTTGGAATTAAAATCCCTAGAATGGGGATTAGAATCGCCTATACCTCCCACCTGTTTGATTCAGATAGGAATCAGTATTGGATTCCATAAGATATGCAGTTATGAACAACTATTTCCATAAGAATCGCCAATACTCTTTGGCGTTGGATAAAGAGAAATAGTGTTTGGGGGTTTAAAGTCTTTTGTCTTTTTTTTTTCTTTTTTAAAGTGGCTGGGATGAGATTCTCACTCCCAACTGGTGAGGCTGAAATAGTCATTCCCTCAAATGGGGGAATGCTATTCCATCATGAGTGGGAGTTGGAATCCCATTCCACCCAACTAAACGATTAAAATTAGAATAAATCATTCCGATTCTAATTCCGGACCCTTATTCCCGCTAACCAAACAGATCTTTTGTTGACTTCTTTTCCTTTTTTATTCCACTGTAACGAATTTCATTCGAAGATATATCAGTCATCATGAATCCCTATAAGCCCAGATGATCAAGACCAAGTATTTCCTGTAAGGTTACTTTTCTCTGTGTCCAAAATAACAATCACCAAGAATATTTAGAAACCTAACTGATGATGGAAAACAGCCCATTGGCATCGTTATACGAGGGATTCATTTGACAGTTGACATGATACATTGTTGCAGATGTATGGTGTACAGCGCATTTCTATGCAAACTTGCGTACAATACACCACTGTGCTATGAAATTTTGCATGTGGGATTCATATCAGCTATATAACGGACCAACTGTTGTTAGTGGTGCAACTTGGGCGGGCCCAGAACCAACTCAGCCCACAATTTTAGCAAGTTGAATTTGAATTTTCGGTCTCTAGGTTGGGCATAGGCCTAAAATTTTGGGTTCTATTTTTTGGGCTGAGCCAGGCCTAGACCTTAGGTGGTCCAACCCCAGCCTGATTATATACTTACATGTATTATATAAACGCATATATCCATATACATTTGCATACCTTAAAAGGTATTTAGTGATACATACCACCAAGGTTTTAAAAGTCGGTTCGAACAGACGGCCCTTTCTCACTTAAAAAATAAAATAACAGGCAAATATCATTTCCCGGGTCGATGGGTCGACAGTTTGACGACTAGGGTCAATAGGTTGTTGACCAAATCAACAGTTTTTGGCCAAAAGCAGTTTTAGGGTGAAACAGAATCAGTTACCTGATCGGTTCTCAGATTAACCGGTCCAGTTTTCAAAACCATGCACACCATTAATAACCACCCCCTCGCCCCAAAAGTTGGTTATGGAAATCAAATTCATGTTTATGCTAGAGCGGACCAGCTAACATATCAACTGTGCCAACCCTCAGTCATTTGCATACTTGCATATATAAACATATACATTCATGTTAAATTTTAGTTTGGGCTGATTGACTAACCTGAGCCCAGCCAAAGACAGAACCCAACTTGAGTGCATCAAATTTCAGTGAGAAACAGGAGATCAGGTTTGACCTTGGGCCCAATTCATAATTTGGCCTTGTTGAGCTTATACCCAGCCCAGCACACCTGACTTTCACCCCTAACCATTTGTGACGTTGTCATCAAAGATGTTACCCATCACCAATCCGGATTTCCTGCTCACAACTCTCTACCACACTCTACCTGCCTTGAATTGCAGCTACACATCTTCGCCCAATTCAGATCTATAATCCTACCCACACCTACCCACATGACACTACAACTATACATTGGAAACATCTCCCCATGAGTGGTAAATGCAAATAGGGGAGATGTTCTCAATATACATATGTAGTGAAGCCTGGGTAGGTGTGGATAAGGCTCTTGTGGGTAAGAGATCCGAACTGCACGTAGCCATCTTATACTGACGGATGTGCAGCTGCAATGTACTGTGGGTAGGGTGTGGATAGAGAAAGTGATTAAGAAATCTGGGTTCCTGGGTTGTGCAAAAACATGGCCTTGGCTCGGGCTCAAATTGAAGATTCAACTCCGGCTGCAAATGGACCGTAGCCTCTTTTTTGGCAAAGGCCACCCGCCCATTTCCTGAAGATGGGGAATGGATGCATTGTTGGAGGGAATGGAGATTTTTGTCTGCACAAGTTACCAAGGATGTTGATGGTTCTTCTCTATTCCCTGAAGCCGTGGTGCTCGACCAGTGGAATTCCAAGTACTTATTCTAGTCTGTGTAATGGGTTAATAGGATTGCCAGGAGCAGAGAGGATTTGGTGACTGGTGGCCTCATACGGTCACCGGAAAAAAGAAAAAGGGGAGGAGCTGGTTTGGTTTGGTCACCCGATGGCCTTTGAACCGTAACAGCCTAACTGTCTACTTTGGTCTCTAGTTTCTGCTCCACAACCATGAACTAGATATGATCCAGTATAGATTATTTTACTATACAACCTTGAAAAAATGGAGTCTTGAATCTTGAGACGGTCATCATAATTCTTGATGTATGTTTTTGCTACTACCCGAGCACTTCGAATCCAATGGTTCAGGAATCCACCAGAAGACCTCTTTCGTGTGTAGTCAAGCTTCTTGCATCATTTTTCGCAGACTTGAACCAGCCTGAGATTTTACCATAGCAGGTAGCACGACCAAAGGTTGGCCCCTTAATACTGATACCCCCCGTGTCAGAATTTGTAAGTTTAAAGTACATTTGGGGTAGGTGCCAACTTAAAATTGATGCCAATTCATGGGCGGGTATAGATGCATAGAGTAGGGTTTTTGAACATTTTGAATGTTTATAACTGTGCAGTGGAAATCAAATTTCTGCATTAAGTGTATCCGTACTTCTCCGTAATTAATAGCCAAAAATAAGTGTCCCTCTATCCTTTGGTAAGACATTTACAAGAAGGCTTTAATGGCGTTCCCAACCCAACATCGAAAAGAAATAAAACCACCCAAATAATCCAACGGCATTCTCAAATCTCATATACACTGGTAAGTATGATATACGATAGAAACAAAGAGCGAACAAGAATGCTACCAACTCGAGCAGTACGTGAGGAAACCATGCAGCCAATCCTCCTTTTTTAAATGATAATGGTAAAGCAGTAAACCTTCCACTTCCCACGCTAGGCTTCTTCAGTGAGATGTTGGAAACCATAAACAAATATGTTATATTTTCGAGCTGGGGCATAGAATCATGGCAGCGTTTCTTGTGAATCTCCTAGACGAGACAAATGAAGGTATGCATCGGTCCCTGTAGAATAGAAAATACGTTTCAAATTTGAATAAACATGATAACATTGAACTTTTAAAGTTAACGCCTATGAGTTAGTTATTCTATGAAGGAATTAGGAACCTCTGATTAAAGAATCGGTGATAGAAGAAGAACAAAAACAATTTTATCAAACAAATACAACTTCCACTTATAGGTGCAAATATTCAATATTGCCTATAGAGAGACCACAGATGCAAGACCCAACTCAGTAGCCAACCATTCAATCGGTAGGCCACACCTTAGATTTCCATGCAGGCCAATTGCCAATAGACAATTTTCCCTAACCATTAGCTACTTGTTCCACATCTCTACAATCCTTTAAATCTGCAAAATGACAACCTTTTTTGTAATTTCAAGAGTGAAATACATGCAGCACAGGTTTTCTCCCCCAGTAAAGAGTGCATTTATTAGTAATACACTAACACATTCTATCCGCTCCTATTAAAAAAAGTATTATTTTTAGGTTCATTTAATTTTTATACCATATTTCTTCATTGCAAATGCTTTTGAAGACCCTATTTCACATAACTGCAACTTGAGTTGTTATAGAGCACCATTACTTTAGTGAGCAGAACTTTTAGGTGTCAATCAATCATTCCACTAAAAGATTCCATATCTAGGAATGGCGACGGGGTGGGGCACTCCTCCTTGTTCCCGACCCATAGTCAAGATAATCTACCCCATCCCCGTCCCGCCCCTGGTGGCGGGGCAGGGCACCTACTCCCTGTCGGGGATGGGGAATCCCTGAATTTTCCCCGCCCCGAGGCAACCACCTAAAAATAATTTTGTGGATTTTGTTTTGATCAGTAACAGTGAAATTTTATTAATGATATAAAATCGAGATTACAAAGGGAGGGAGCTAAAAAGTCTTAACTCCAGCTACCCAAGAAACTTTCTGACCATGCAGTGATTACAAAACAGCCCAAAATAATGTCTCTATTTATCCCTTGCCTAGCTAGACCATCAGCCAATGCATTTGCACTTCTCTTTATCCATGTACATTGAATTTTCATGTCCTTGGTTAACCACTTATACGTACTCTTTTCATTGCTGTATTTCCACATCATAGCACTGTCCTCTTTTAGCCATTTCACCACCGTTTCAGAATCACCTTCTATAACCACCTTTTTGATATTCATTTCCTTGACCCTTTGTATCCCTTCAATAGCTCCTAAAATCTCAGCCCTCAAAGAGTTTCCCACCCCAATCGGCCCAGAGTACATGGCTAACAAGTTCTCTGTTTCATCCCTTATCACACCCCCAATTCCGGAAGGCCCTGGGTAGCCTATGCTGCTGCCATCAAAGTTCAGTTTGGTGAACCCAAGAGGTGGAGGAGTCCAGCAAGCTTTTAAGATCTTTCTACATAAGCCTGAATCTGCAATCTCCTTCTAATTCCTTAACAGCTCGTCAACTGAGAACACTTTGAACAGTTCCAATGTTCTCAGCCATTGTACCATCCTAATGTGGATGATCTCCATGATTTCTTCCACACTTCTCTCTTTATTTGAGAAGATCCTTGAATTCCTCTCCTCCCACACTGTCCAACAGACTGCAGCTCTACCACACCTCCACATGATTTTAGCCCTTTTAGTTGGCCAATTAGGCATGGAAGAAAACAAGCTTGGAACATTCAAAGGGGGAGTCCACCTGATCCATGGAGAGAATAAAGGCAAGATGGCTTGAATAGCTCTCCAAGGGGAAGCTCTTGTAGTCCATGTATACTTCCCACCACCTTAACCCACAACCTTTCTTTCTCCAATGAGAATCTCCACAACCATTTCCCTAGTAATGCTAGATTCCTAAGGGGGAGTCCACCTGATCCATGGAGAGAATAAAGGCAAGATGGCTTGAATAGCTCTCCAAGGGGAAGCTCTTGTAGYCCDTGCTAGAATTCCTGARTCCCATCCATTATYTGCCAGTCCATGTATACTTCCCACCACCTTAACCCACAACCTTTCTTTCTCCAATGAGAATCTCCACAACCATTTCCCTAGTAATGCTAGATTCCTAGTCCTAATATTACCAATTCCCAACCCTCCCTCCTTTTTACCTCTATAAACCACCTCCCACTTGACCCTATGGTCCCTCTTCTCCTCTCCCGGCTCCCACAGAATATCCCTCATTAGCTTTTCCAACCTATTAGCCACCTTAACCGGTACCCTAAAAACTGACAAAAAATATACAAGGTTAGCCAAAGTAGACCTGATTAAGGTGATTTTCCCTCCAAGAGAAATAGTTTCTCTTCCAGTTGGCAAGTCTCTTCAAATCTCTCCACAACAGGGGCCCAAAAATCACCTCTCTGAAGATTATCCCCCAAAGGCAAGCTCAGGTAGTTTAATGAACAATTAGACACTGCACATCCCAAAATATCTGCATACTCCCCAATCTCCCCTTCCCCCATATTGACTCCAACTATACAACTTTTTTCAAAGTTCACCCTAAGATTTGACATCTGTTCAAAGAGCTGTATAGAGAGTTTCAAAATTTTAATCCAATTGATATCCCCTCCTTCACAAAACAGAATCGTATCATCTCCAAATTGTAGATGTGTAAGTGGTATATTATCCCTTCCAACTCTCCATCCTCTTATTAGCTCCCTGGAATCTGCTTTGGATATCAATGCCCCCAACACTTTAGCTACCAATGTAAACAAGAAGGGGGATAGGGGATCTCCTTGTCTAATTCCCCTCAAAGCTGGGAAATAGTCCACCACTGTCCCGTTTACCAAGATGGAATAATGACAATCCCTAATGCATCCCATCACCCATTTGCACCAGATGTCTCCAAACCAAAGTTAATCATCACCTCCAATAAGAAAGACCAATCAACCAAATCATAAGCCTTTTCTAGATCTAGTTTGCAAACCACACCTCTTCTCCTGGATCTCTTGTAGTCCTCTAAACTCTCATTTGCTATAAGTATCTGATATGCTATTTGTCTCCCCCTCACAAAAGCTCCTTGATTGTTCGAGATGATAGTTGGTATCACCTTTCTAATTCTAATTGATAGCACCTTAGTGATGATCTTATAGAGATTGTTAACTAGACTAATTGGCCTGTAGTCCTTTGGATGGCTTGCATCACTTTTCTTGGGAACTAAAGCAATGAATGTGGAATTTAGCCTAGGGTTAATCACTCCTGTAGTATGGAATTCATCGAATACCAACAATATATCCTCCTTTAGAATCTCCCAACAATCCTGGTAGAAAGCCATCGTAAAACCATCTGGGCCCGGTGCCTTTGATCTATCCATTGAAAATACCGCCTCTTTTATTTCTTCCAACTCAAATTTCTTGTCCAATCAGTCCCTCTCTTCTCTCTTCAGTGTTGGCCATTCCAAACCTTCGAACCATATCCTATTATTCAGTGGCCTTCTATATATATTCCTAAAATGACTTGCAAATGCTTCCGCAATTCCTCTCTGACTTGTGACTATTTCCCCTTCAATCTCCAATCTAGTAATAAAATCTTTCCTCCTGCCATAGGCCAAAGCATGAAAGAACTTAGTGTTCCTGTCCCCCTCTTCTAACCACTTGCATCTTGACTTCTGCCTCCAGCTTATTTCCTCCTGAAAGATAGAATCCTATAATTGTTTCCGCAATCTCCATCTTTGTTCCTTATCCTCTTCAGTTAGGCCTTCTCTCCCTTCTTTACTGTCCAAGTTCTCAATCTGTGTGATCTCATTCTGTTTTCTTTCCTCCAATCTCCCAAATTCCAGTAGATTCCATTCCTTGATTCTCCCTTTCAGATATTGGAGCTTGTGAAACCTCATCCCATACCACACCACTGCTAGATTGCTCTCTACCCACCACTGTTCAACCTTCTTAATGAACCTCGGGTGCTCTAATTTGTGGATATTTTACAAATAGGATTATGGGAATTTGGGGGTATTTTAAGAATTGAATTATGATAATTTAGAGGTACTTTAAAAATGTAATTATGGGGTCTTAGGATTTTAAGAATTTGGGTAAAACTTAGATATATTTTAAAAATCAGTATTAAATCTAGGAATATTTTACTAATTTATCATCGGGTTTGAGGCGGGTTCAGGGAATTATATGGAAACCCATCCTCGCCCCATCTCCAATCGGGGCAAAAATATTTTCCCCATCTCCACCCTGTCCCCGTTTAAGATTGGGGAATAGGGCAGGGGTGGGGGCGGGGCCCCGATTTTACAGGGAAAATTTCCATCCCTATCCATATTTGACTTAGTATGCCTTAACATCATTTGGGCTCCACTACATAATCCTGTCTCATAATTGCATTCTATCAACAAACATATCTTCTATAAAATTCTATGTCCTTGGATTATTTCCTGTTGCTTTGACTTTCAGTTCATGTATTCTTGGCCTCTCTCTTCCTCTTTTAGAGCCTTTTACTCGCACCAAGTCACTCCTCACCATCACAATCATTCATTGGTTACAAACTTCTAATTGAATGATTGGTAGAACATTAAAACTAAATGTCTTAAACCCTATGTAGGTGAAGGATTAGAAAGTCCTTTGTAGAAGTTGACAAATCTAAAGCATTCAAATATGACATTTCCTACATATGATTATAATCATCAAATGAGAAGCATGGCCAGCTGTGTGTGTGTATGTGTGCATGTAGTGAGAGAGTAATACAATTTTGAGATTTCAAGGTTTGCAGCAACTTAAAAGAAGTGGATCTATTGTTCCTCTTAGTATTTGCATTCCAGATTATCTAAATAGTTTTATCTTACAACTATTTATCCAAAGAAGCACAGAAATATTTGAATTTCAATACTTCTCACCAAGTAAGTCAGAAGGCAGGGGCAGATCTCAGGGAAAATAATTTTAGAATGCTTGACCTTGGATTTTGTCTAAATTTTGTAACATTTGGATTGATAGTTTTCTATCAAGGTATATAGAAATTTTAAATAAAACTTGGCCTATCGCTTGGAAATTTTAGGCTATAAAAAGTAACTTTTTAATTTATTAAATATTAACACAATTAACTTTAAGGATTTAAAATTAAAAGTTGACCTATTGATCCAAAAAATTGGAAACATTATGTTTATCACATACTTCATAAAAATGTTACAATTTTTGCAATATAAAAAATCATCCATTTTGAAAACAAATCCGCAATCCTAGTTATGTTTTTTATTTTGGAGATATGAGTTTTCGTTTGAATGCTAAATTTCTTAATATGTTTTCAATTTTGTCAGAAAACATGGCTCCTGAAAGAGCACAATGACTGGACAAGATTCATGTAGCCAATCCCTGCAAGCAAAAAAAAAAAAAAAAAGAAAAAAAATCTTAAGTTTTAACTTATAGGATCTCCCTCCTCCTTTGGGTTTTATATGTAATTGTGATTCGTGGGGATGTGCTACCCCCCGACTTGTGTAGCACCGATTGGACCTATCAAAAAAAAAATGTAGCCAACCCCAAATAATTAGGCTTGAAGCTGAGTTGAGTTAAGTTCAGTTTTCAATTTTTGGATGTCAAAACAAAATTATTTATTTCATATTGAAATGGTATTGTAGAAATAAGTGAAATTTCCAAAAATTGGAAATCTTGCCTAAAGTTACATTTCTACATAACTTAAGAATTGCATTCAAGATGGCAATCATTGGATCCATGTATTTTACTAATGCCACCTTCTTTCTTAGTGGAAGCATTCGAAGAAATAGTTTACTAGCATGTGCAACAGTGGTGATCTTTTTAAATTTTTAAAGAAAATCATGAAAATTCAAGGATTTATTAGATGAAAAAGGGCAGCAATTGGATTGATATTAGCAAAGTCATTTCTATAAAAGAAACAAATTGTTGAAAAAACAGTGCTTGCATCACAAGAGCTATTAGGTATTCTATGGGGCATTCTTAAGAAATAATAGGCTTAAAAATCAATAAGATCATAAGACTTAACCATGTACTTTTCAAATGGACACATAGCAGTCAAGAAAATTAGGACTTATGGTGAGAGGTCTGTCCCTCATAGCAATATGATGCTATATAGATTATTGAACAACACTAAATAATGAATACATTATTATGTAGAAAAGTCCTTTATGATAAAGCATAAGTAGATGAATCTAAGAAAAATATTGAACAAAGGTTATAAAAATAAAGGAATAGGTATACTATATTTCTAAGGAAGGACAATATTTAAAATAGATTTTTTCTTTTGGTGATGTTCCCGTATCCTCCATAGAGGCTGTTAAGTAGTGCCACACTTGTAACCACCCCCCCCGGTCCCCAAAGTTCGCGGCAGCAGGATTTGAATCCCCGTCTCTGCTGGAATGAATGAGAAAACGTACCAACTGAGCTATCTATCAGTTAGCTATTTAAAATAGATTAAATACCTAGAATATTTGTCTCTTTATTAGAAATCATATAGTACTTTCCCTTTATTTGATTTTTTTTTTCTCTTTTTTTTGTTGTTTTGGTTTTGGGGGGCAGGGGAGCATGGTCCTCCTCACCCTGCTCTCCTGTCTGAAGGGTGTAAACAATACATCTTTGGGTCGATTCCAAAGAATGGACAGACCTACAAATTAAAGACAAGTGACTGAATCCTATAGTTCAACCATCTCCAGAAAAAGGCATTTCAAAGACAATATCAATCATAAATGACATATAACTCTGTTTCATCTGTAATGGCAAAATAACAGAAGAAAAAGAAATCCATTGGTCTAATAGCTAAATATCAACTGAAACACATTTATTTAAACAAGATTCAAAAGATGAGTTTAAGCAGCATGAATGAAACAATTCATTGGTACACCAATCAGACACAATATCCACTGGTCTAATAGTCTTTTAGAGCAGAAACATCATATTAAATAGATTCTCTGTCAGTCAAGGTCTAGCATTCAAAATTCTAGGTTTTGATCTAAGATCAACAGTTTAAATATGAGCATGATCTTCAGACAATTTCTTTTCCCCTAAGGTTCCGCAAAATTTGGGAAAATTCCAAAAGTAAAAAAGAAAAAAAGAAAAAGCGTAAGAAAACAATGACCAGAAACCAGGTCTTCAGTTCCCACCATGTCTAACAGCTTCAAGATGGCTTTATCGATTGCCTCTCCAGCATTATTCAAACAATGTCATATTCAATTCAACAGTGACAGGAAGACATTGTGGTGGAACCCGGGGGTACCATGATAAGCAAATACTCGATGTTAAAACCGCAAAAAGTCAATGGTCCACTTTGAGAAAACCATGTAAATTGTTCACAAAAGTTCAAATACTCTAATATCAGTTTTGAATTTTCTGAAGAGGTTACAGCAAATACTTGGTATTCAGCACTTGATAACAACCTAGATGTTGTATGACTCAATGAGTAACATGGCTCCCAAAAAAGAAAAAATGTTCCATCAAAGAGGATTAAGAAGATATTGGACTCACCATAACCTTCCATGGAAATAATTTGCAGATCCCCTCCAAAATATTGAGCATAAAGGCGACTTATTGGAAGTCCATAACCATATCCAGCCATTGTCATAACATCATTTGATGCAAAATCTGTCTGTTCATCCAATGGATTACTTGCTGTAGTATAGAGATATGTGAATATCCTTGGAAGGCCACTTCTTGGTATTCCACCACCTTCATCTGAGATCTGTAGTATTAATAAAACCACTCTGTCAAGCATAACTACAAACACATTCACTTAGTATATTGACGTCCATTCCCCCCTCCACCAACCCTTCTGCACGTGTTTTGGAACTTTTTCTCTTTCAAAAACCTCATGCAAATCTTCTAGATATTGACAAATAAGAATTGCAACTTGAATCAAATTGACAGGTGGATACCTTTATTGTAACATCCTCTATTCCATCAGCAACTATGATTCGAACTGGAGGTGCAACTTTGTCCGAGTCCATAAACTTCTCTTGGACGGCACGTAAAGAATTCTTAACCAATTCAAATACCATAAGATGTAAATGCTTCGGAACATATCTGTTACAAATCAAATGAGTTACAAAGAACAGAAATAAGGGAAGGGAACCCTTATGCTCAAATCCACCAGACGAGTGGCAAGAATAGAAAAGATGCAACTGAAAACTAGTATATTACTATATTTATGTAAAGATGCAAATTGAAAGCATGTGTATAGGAGAGTAATAACTGAAAGTGTAAAGAGAGGAAATTTGCAAATGGAGGTTTCTAAAAAAGCCAGGAAGAGGTGGAAAAGGACATAAGTTAAAGTACTAAGAAAAGAACTAAGGCCTCACAATTAACAGAAAATGCAACCTCCAATAGAGTAGAATGCTGAAATAGGATTCCTATAGCTGAAACAGAGTGGAATGTTGAAATAGGGCTGATGATAGATAAAGTTAAAGATTGATATTCATAATTAAAAGGACAACCAAAGATATGAATGGAGGCTATGCAACATAATGTATCTGTGACAAATGTGGCAAGAGAACTAGGTCAATTATGCACAAACCAAAGTGATAGACCTGGATAAGTGACAAATCCAGTTTCTGTAGCCAAAAAGAAAACAGTTTGCACTGAGTTTGGATGGTGACAATGATAATGATATCTTTCAACACTTGCAGGTATGAATGCTAAATTCATTGTGTCAAAACCCTACCTCAAATTTGTGAATCACATATCCAATATGTATAGCACAGGGCCAAAGGCTAGATAATGATTTCATATTTAGGTGACTCTCATTATCCCTTAAGACTTAAGAGCATGAAAGGGTTTGCATTAACTAATGATGGAAGCTAGAACTGTTAACCGTATGAACCATGTACCCAGATATAGTGAGGAAGATTGCAGCAGCATCTATAAACGATACTCATAATTCAAATATAATACAATCTACACCTTGCCAATTTTCAACTATAATACGGCTTATACTAAACCATTTTAGCAAAACAAAAAAGATAACGGAACATGACAGGCTGACAGAGCTAGAAAAGATGAGTCTTGCTTGCTAAACGGGGAGAAAACAAAGCATTGAAGAATGCAGCAGTAATAAGTGGAGGTTTGCCAAAAAAAAAAAAGAACAGAAAAATTGTAGAATATCAAAAGAAATAAAAGTGGACAACCCCAACCAGCTTGGGATGGAAGAACTTACGGAAATGTAAAATTTGGATCTCCATAGATGTTAACTTCAGGTGAAGTTCCATATTCTCGTGAACAAATAGAACGGGCATCCTCACTGGCACCTCGTGCTACCTCCATGGGAGACATTTTCGAATGTATATAGCCTACACGATCAGGTTGCGGATTGGGATCGTGCAAAGCCACATGCTGCCCTGAGTTTCACAAAAAAAACATAAATAAATAAATAAATAATGGTGAAGAAACTTCCAAGGAAACATCATCAAGATCATTGGGGGAGGGGGAATAGCTAGAATATAAAAGATTGTAGTGGGAGCTAACCAATAAGCATGCGTATCCCAATTCTTGACATGTAAAAACGATCAAGAAATTCATGTATCTCGTCAAGATCCTCAGGAACGATCTTCGGATCCAAGTCTTTCTTCAGCTGATTAACACCCAATGCCATCATCGGAACCACATTGTTGTGCCTCACTTTAATCATCTTAATCATTTCTGTGAAATCCAACTCATCGCTTGCATCTTTGATCTCCGGAAAGCACCGCACATCACGGAAAGAATCCAAATACCAGTCTCGCACCTGAAAGCAATATGTCTCAAACCTTTATGCTTAGCACAACGTTGACAAGTCAGTGATCTACCAAGTGAAACTCAAAAATTTTATGTCTACAATGGACTAAGCTTTCCACAGAACAAATTGGAAATCATCTACGGAAGTCTCAGTGAGCAATCCCCAAGGGATGCAGAAAGAGAATGGACTGATGGAATAACCAAAACCAATCAAATGGATAAATAAATGTATATGTACTAAAAAACAGAGACACAACATTCTCAGAAGGGATTAAAGGAAACAAATTAAAATGGCGAAGTACCTTTAAAACAGCAGGTTTATTAGAGAGCCCATAAGGCAAGGATTCAAGCTCAACTGCTCTCCGGGCAATTCTGATAGGAAGCTCTTTCTGAAGGAACTGAGCAGAGAGAAGTAAATTCTTCTCGGTGGGCTTGGACCCAAATTCCATCATGTATCTCAAGCTCACACCAGTTGGTTTCAGACAACTCCATTTATGTACCTCGTCAATGAAAGCTTTAGAGAAGGACTCCTGCATTTTCTTGGCCGTCATGGCTAAAGAAGAGAAATCAACAAGACCCAAGACAGCGAAGGACGAACATGCACACAGAGCAGACAAGGCAAAACCGACATAGAGAAGGAGAGAGGGAACTGAAAGAATGGGTTGGGGCGGGTGGGGGAGCCTGAAAATGTGATACAGTGGTGAGAAGGAGCTCTAATGACAGATGGAGGGAGAGAATAGGGATGAAGAACTCATTGAGTACTTAACCACAATTCGTAGCTTGGTTTTTGTTCTAGCGTAGCGTGGCACTGGCACACAAGCTGAGTTCCACCGTTCAACGGATCGTTTTGATTTCGGGCAGCCCTGAAGCTTGGGTGTTTGAGTGACGAGTTCGGATTTTGTGAGGACGAAATCCGAATTCGTGGGTGGCACGTTTAAAACGGTGGATTATTTCGGATTTATCGGCATGCGGTTGCCCTCGTGAAGTGAACCCGTAAAGCCACGGTTCACAGTTTTCCTTTTTTATCGGATAAGTTGCAGAGAGACTGTTTCGCATTTGAACGACGCGATAAAAATTAGGGTAAATGTCTGAAACCTCTCCTGAAATTTCTGGCTGTTGCTGAAACCCTATAAAATTTTGTAATAGGAATCACTTCTCCTGAATTTTTTGATATAGTTGTAAGTAGATCTTTCTAAGTAGAATCTTCTAAAAAAAGAATGAAAATGTGTAAAATATCTATATAATTACTTTTAATAAAAATGTTTATTTTCTAAATTTTCATTTTACACGAATCATTTTTTTTTAAGAAATTCATTTATTTTTCAAATTTTCCCTTCATATGAATATCAATGAAAGGTAAAGCTGCAACTTTAAATTTTCTTTATTTTTATAAAGATTGTATTATTTTCTTCCATAAAAAACAGCCTCAATAATAATTATATGGGTATTTTAAACATTTTTATGCCTTTCTCAAAAAATCCTAACAAAAGGGTTTACTTGCAATTATATTCGAAAGCTTAAGGAGGTGATTGTAATTACTAAAGTTTAGGGGAGGTTTCAGCCATTTAATCTAATAACTAAGAAGTGGGAGCCTTTTTTTTTTTTTTGGTAAAAAAGTTGCTTTGTTATCTGAGGAAAACACATCTGTTAGATACGGGAATCATATAATACCAGATTCGAGTATGATACCAAAATGTTATAATACCAAAAAAGTTCAACTATGATATCAGAAAGATATAATACCAAAAAACTTACACAACCAACCAAAAGGTATGATAAAACATGTGACCAAATCAGGTGGTATTTATCAAAATTCATGGGGTGTTTTGAATAGTCAAACCTATTTTAATACCATGTTTTGTCATAGATTTTTTTCTTTTACTACTGAACTATAATCATGTTTGATTAGGCTGAACAAGTATAAACGTTTTATGCATAGCAAAATCATGTTTGATTGGGTGGGTTGGGTCAGGTTGAAGGTCAACCCAGGGCCAACTGAGCTTAATCCAAGACAACTCGAGGTTGGACTTGGGCTCGGGTTGGGTTGGACCAAGTTAAGTCAGGTTGAGCAGGTTGATCAGGTTTGACACCATTTGTGCATAAATTTTGTACAACCACATTTATTGAGCACTATAGCTCAATATAAGAGTACAATAGATTGAAAATATGCATAAATTTCACTAACAAGTGTATATTTACATATTTAATACATGTGTATATATGTACAATTAAAAAATATTTTATAAATAAAATACATATATTTGTTTGGGCAGGTTTAGCCTTGGATTGGGTTGGGTTGGGCTCAGGTTGGGTATATTAGCGGTGAGCATGGTCCATTCAGTTTGGTTCCATGGCCAAACCTAAAACCTACCCTATAGGGGTTGTTTCAGGATTTTGGAAGTGGAACCTATCCTGTAAAGGTCGGTTCTAGGGTTGGTTTTGGTCTTGACAGTTTTGGGGTCAGTTACAAGATCTACCCATGAAAACTGTTCTTTATTTTTACTCTCCCCCTTCAAAAGGAAAAATGGAACACATGTCTTTTAAAAACTTGATTTTCAATAATGATAGCTAAGAATGATCCCGTACTAAGTACGGGGCCATTAATCTAAATTATTTCAAAATTTTATATTATTTATAATAGACATTTAGGTTAGGCTTTTTATTTGATTTAAGAGACTTACCATGAATTTCTAGAGAATGACCCCATACAAAGGGGAAACTACAATATCATTTAATTTGAAATTTACTATTTAACTATAAAGATTAAATTAGAAAAATTAACATGGGCCTTACATCTTTGTAATTGACAATCAATTCTGACCTACTTTGTTTGAAAATCACTATTAATTTATGTTATTTTTAATATGACTTAAGAGATTAAATGAGGTCTTATTTATAAGCATTACCCCACTTTTATTGGTATTTAATATTTATTTGATAAATGTATTTTAAAAGTTAAATTAGGTTACGCTTCCTAAAAAAGTTAAATCCAGTTTGCAATTAATAAACTATCTATATTAACTATAAAAGAGCGAATGTCCTTTTTTTTCTGGAATTTTTATTGGACATTTCTACCCCTTATCTAAGCAGCATATAACAGGCATAAAGAGGGTATATATGTCATTTACTCTCACTCAAAAAACTGTCCATTTATAACAGTTAAGAAACTGCCCACTTATAATCGTCCATGTATTATAAATAATTTTGTCTTGGAGATATTATCACTTGCAAATGCACGTACGTCTTGGAGATAGTTTCATCTAAAAGAATGAAACTCACACCATTTGTATTAATTGTTTAGTCATTTTTATGAATTTCATTTATTTTTATTTTTATCCATTTAATATTTTGAATATTTTTAAGTTAAATTATTTGTTTAATCGTTACTTTTGAAATGGTTGTGTTTGAATAATTCAGTTACTATGATAACATTTGAAGTTGCTACTTTTTAGGGATTAGGATGCTAGGTGTGTGAATTTTAAAAGAGTGGTTAGACTTTTTTTAATAGTGAGAGTTTAACCTCTTCTAAGATTCTATCTATTGAATTTTTACAATGCCACATGTCTGAAGGGTGGGGACTGTTGCATGAAGACTTTCCTTTAATATATATTAAAGGAGGTTTTTTTTATGTGACATTAATTCCTATAATTTCGAAGGAAAAAAGGTACAATTTACTATTAGATTCCATTTCTTGCATCTTGAGGCTTTCCTTGGTATACATTTCAACTTATATATATAATATTATTTAAAACTTATATTATCTTTATTGATTAAATTGAGTAATGTAATATATATGTAGATTATCATAGTATATTAACATATAATTCAAAATTTGTCATTATAATTTAAAATTTGTAAATATTACCTTTTACATTATTTATCATACACTTTCAAGTATTAAAATGAAAGAAATGATCAAATCATTTGGGTCGTGTTTGGTTGTAGTGCAATTTTATTTGTAATAGTACAAATGCATGGGAGTACAAATGAAAAAAAAAAACTGCAAATTTTGGTTTAATTTTGTTTTCGATTTTACTTTATTCTGCTTTAGGTCGTATTTTACTTTAATTGTAATGCAACCAAACAAAGTAAGGTAAAATTTGAAACAAAGATAGATCAAAATTTATACCCAAAACATTTGCATCGACATAGTTTTGCATTAGTGTAAAAAAAAATTGCATTGCAACCAAACACAGCCTTAGGCTCAGTTTGGAATGAGTATAAATGTATGCAAAATAATAAAAGGTACAAGGTTTTGTACTCTACATATTTGTCTTTGTACTCAATAATAAAAAATACAAGCCTTAGGTCGCATTTGTTTGCAGTGTAAATACGGTGTAATATTACATTCTGGTCCAATTTTGCTACTATTTGGATGAAGTGTAAAAGTATATGGAAGATCGATGTAAAACTCCGTTTTGAAAGACTTTTACATCGATAAATGTAAAAAATACATTAATTTTTTTTATGTAAAACTCCTCCCACTGCTCTCCGCTCATAACATCTCTTTTTCATATCCCTCCCACCACTCCAACTATCAAGGGAAATGGATGAAAGATGAGTTTTCGTTTAGTTAGGCTTCAAGGGCAGAGGATGAAGAAAGGAGAAATCTTTTTTCCGAAAAATATTCAGTCACATGGCTTCTCTAGCTATCACTATCCCATAACCTAATAGGGTTGCCACTTAGCATTATGAAATCCCGAATAGCAAAGGATGCTTACCACCAAACACCATTGATGCCATCAACACCCTGGTCTTCCAAGCTCTCTATTGACATAGAATAGTCATCATCGAGATGGTTGGAGACAACTATGTTGTTGCGCAAGCGCTAGCTCGTGATGGCTTATCCAGCAAAGACGATTGAGATAACTATTGGGAGGAGTCTGAAGGCATTAACTCTGAAGATGTTCCATACACATCAATAATCTTCTAGCGGTAGGGAGGCGGAGGAGAAGAAAGAGCTTCCAATTTTGGAGGGTGAGAATGGGAACTGGCTCCTCTAATTCTCCAAATACAATGGTTAAGGTGGTTGTTGTTGCTGGAAATTGAAACGGACAGTCCTCCGTTTTCTCTTGGCTGGCCGGCAAGGACTGGAATCTCTTGGTTAGAAAGATTGGAGGGTGAGAATGTGAACTAACTGCTCTAAATCTCCAAATACAGTGGTTAAGGTGGTTGTTGTTGCTGGAAATTGAAACAGACGATGCCCTGTTTTCTCTTGGCCGCTGGCAAGGACTATAATCTCTCGGTTAGAAAGAATTGGACTTTTATCTCAATGATTTACCAAACACGAAGAGTGTTAAATGGGACCAATATCCAGTTCCCATTTTACACTTTCATGAACCCATCAGTGTAAATTTAGATTTACACCGAAAACAAACGTAGCCTTAAGTAACTCAATGGTAAAGTGAGACCATGCCTTTTGTAACCAAGAGTGTTTGGACTCAAATCTTCACATTCTAAACAATATTTTGGGGTATTATACCAAGAAAAGATATTTTGGGATTTATTTGAAGGCAAGTTCAATTCCAAGGACAATTCATTGGGTTGGGTCTGGTAAAATAAACCCTTAAACCCTAGCACCAACCTGGGTGGAGATCAGTTCTAAGAATTTCAAATCAAACCCTATCTTGTAAATAGATTGGATAGGATCGGTATGAATCAAGACCAATTCGAGATTCGTTCCATTCAATTTTAGGTAAAACCGTAGAACCTATCCATTTACTCACCTCTAATATATACAATACAAATTTGAATAATATATTTATGCTATAATGTTGCATTCCAGCCCGACTCATATGCGATCCAATCATCCAATTATCACATTTATGCATACTTAGGTGCTTAGGTCCATATATTGGATCAAGCTATCCTTATGATTGAGACCAACGAAAAAATTGAAAAGAAGAAAGAAAGATAAAAGAAAGAAAGTCGTCTAAGATAGTACGCCAGTCGAT